TCAACACATGTTCGAACTCAATCAAAACCACATTATGCTTTACAACCACACACATATTCAAAGCCAAATTAGAAAACGTTACAAAGGCTGCGGAAAGTTCCTTGTCGCGGTACTCTTGCAACTTTAATGCGAACCACACAAAGTTAAAGAAGTTAATTGGTGACATTTTATTGTCCAACAAGACCGATTAGAGTATGCCTCCTAACTGGGCATTTCATGCAGCACATCAGATGATGTGTTAATAACGTAGCCTTATACTCTGTAACATCCATTTTACACTTATTTCAGAAAAAGGGTACACTCTTTACACAGACAGAAATGAACTTTATTCGTACTCTCTCTTCGTCGTGGCTTATTACAACGCTGCAACAGATTCCCGCTCGTGCAAGTGCGTTCCAGTGCATGTGTGCATTCTGCATTATGTTGATGCTATCAGGGCGTGGACGGGTCCGTTCTATATGGAAGGCGTTCCCGATCTCACACAAGAACAACATATTGAGGAGCATTCGGCACTATAGGCTCCTTGTGACCAGGGGCTTTAAATGAAATATACTTCAACAGCCGACTGGAATGTTGTATATTTGCCTTTCATTCACACCTATTTATTCAAGTTTACCCACGTTGAGATTTGCATGTTATTGACAATGACACTTAAGGCTGTGAAAGCGTGTAAGGTGTTGGCAAAGCATGATAACTCAACCTGCCCTCACTGCAGACCCGTTGGGTAACGTGGCGATGTAAAGCCGCACCTTTCCTGATGGAATGCGACGCGCTCTCTGAAATAGCTGTCTGTTTTGACTGCACGGTGTCGCATGAAACCAAGATGTGCTGTTTCCGTTCATCCAGATTTATTCTACTTAAAAGAGCTTATGGGTGGGCAGGGGTTGTAAGCCCATTTGCAAATTGCACATTTTATTGGTATAGGCACAAATGGGTTAATTACATAAATAAAGCACTGTAGAGAATGAGTTAGTAACATCCAAGATATATAGTTACCAGACAGAGATGGGGGCGATAACGTCATGTACCAATGAGGAAGTAAAGTTTATTTTTTGTGTCCGTGCAAAAAAGATCTAATGCTCAGTATATTACTGTTATTATTTCAGACATTTACCATTTTAAAACCTGGAACAAAACATATAAACACCAATTGCCTTTACATCCCGAGCGATGGCTGGGGTGACGTGTGAGTCAGTGAGTGAGTTGGGTTCTACTCACACGGTGACAGCGTAGGAGCCGCCTTACTATTAACCTTGGCCTGATAGGTTAGCTTGAGACAGGAACGCGTTCGGCGTGTGCACCACAACACGTAATGTTCTCCTTGGACAAGAGGATTCGAACAATCAAATTGTGTTTTTCAACATATTTTTACAGGACATCCAGCATTCCCAGCGAAAGTTATATTTTGGGGCTGAAACCTGCGGACAAATGTTTTTTTCCACTTATTTCCCATCGTTTGTAGCAATGATTCTCAACTGTGATTATGTAGACTGGACTCGTCTTAAGGGTCAGATATGAAAACGCGTGCGGTCTGATTCATTTCACTGATGATATGACGACTGTAATGTCATTACGAGCACAGCTTCCGATGTGTCGGTACTGTTGGTCGTTACTTTGGCTACAAAAGTATTGAGTTCATGTTTCAGGCAACCGTAGTTAATACAGCAATCTCAAAGTTCACCAAGATGTCCTTTGGTCCAAGACGAACTGGAACGCTCGCTTAATATTTGTAGTTCAGTCGATACCATCAAATAATCCAGTATATTCCCAATCGTGCAGAAACCATTTGTAGCCATCTTTGTTTTTGCCATGGTTAACGGAGGCATTTGCTTTGAAACCACCACTTGCAGTTCTTATCTGAAGCAATTTTCTCAAACAACTGGTCTACATTATTTTGGTAAAAACATCGACCCAAAGTATCACTTTTGACAACATTTACAGATTAGTGGGGCCGGAAACAGGGGGAGAGAACAGCTGCCAAGTCGGAGCGTTTCTGGTTTCAACTAAAAATATCGGCAACAGACCCTCCACTATTTTGCGTCTGTGCATTTAGTGTACGACTCAGCTCCAGCGTAACACAGATACCATCTTGGTTTGTTTTGTAGTGTGGGCGATGTTGGAGAAATAATACACACGAAGTGGCCTAATGATTCTCAGGATTACGTAACACGTAACCTGAATAGACTCCCTTTGTTTCCCACTCGGGTTTTGCTCAATCATCATATAACAGAAGGAATCAGGACACATTCTCGAAACCAAGTGTGTCACAATGAGTAACCTTTATTATTTGTTATTTTATTGGATAAATTTATTTCGTTATTATCTTTGTTGAGTAATCTTATACTCGGGGCGGTTGGTTAGCTTAGTGGTTAAAGTGAGTGAGTGAGTGAGTATTTAAGCAATGATTGGTCACACTAAAGCCCCCGTGAAGCCCAATCGTGGTGAGTGAGTAAGTGAGGTTTTACGCCGCTTTTAGCATTATTCCAGCAATATCACGGCTGGGGACACCAGAAATGGGCTTCACACATTGTACCCATGTCGGGAATCGAACCCGGGTCTTCGGCGTGACGAGCTAACGCTTTAACCACTAGGCTACCCGACCGCCCCTCTGTTGCAAGAACGGTAGTACAACAGGCTAGAAAGACTGGTCAATGTGACGCTGTCCAGTGATGTTTCCTTCCAAAATCACCAGATCTGTCTTGACTTGGCTACAGATGCTGTATGGACAGGGCTACAAATGCCGCATTGCAGGACTAATGGTGCCGCATTGACTTGGCTACAGATGCCGCATTGACTTGGCTACAGATGCCGCATTGACAGGGCTACAAATGTTGCCACCCCCAAACTGTTCAACATCTTGAATGCAATAAAGTTCTTCTTATCGTAGGTTGACACAAATTCTCCCATCTGCCAGGAAAATCTTGAACCTGCTCTCTCCTGTCAACAGGACCTTTTAACAGTTTCTGTTCTACCAGCGTTACAGTGTCAGCGTTAAGTCTCGTAGTGGTCTGCAAGTTCTGATACCCGACCGCCCCTAGTGGTTAAAGCGTTAGATTGACACGACGGAGACCGGGTTCGAGTCCTCACATCGATACAATGTGTCTACCTGCACGCACAACGATGGGTGAACCTTAAAGGATACATACCATTCTTAGAGCAACAATAACAGCCTTGTCAGTTATTCAAATATGACTAAAATATCTCAACTTTAAAACCATTATGGATGATGTCCAAGCATATGTACCAAACAGTGGGCCAAACGAAAATAAATCGGTTAAATGTCTTTGAGAGTCGGGAAAGTCAGTGCTTGATGTTGCCATTGCGAATGGGGGAATGCACAAACTAAAAAGAGGAAGCAGTATTGGAATAAACCCTTTGTTTCCGAGCCAGCTGTCACGGGGAGCTTGTAGTTGTTCCCACTGACAACGTCTCAAATAGCATCACCATTATCTACACGCATCACTTCAATCATGTATTAATGGACTGATCAAAGAACTTCGTATAAGTGACATGTCAAATAAAACTACATGTAAGGCCAGTATGTTTACTGAGACATTTGCCCAAACCATGCAGCAGCAGTAGTATGAGGGAGAGATAGACAGAGACGCACAGAGAGAGAAAGAGAGAGAGAGAGAGAGAGAGAGAGAGAGCGAGAGACAGAGACAGAGACAGAGACACGCACAGAGAGAGAGAGAGAGAGAGAGAGAGAGACACAGAGAGAGAGAGCGAGAGAGAGAGAGCGAGAGACAGAGAGACGGAGAGAGGCGGAGAGAGAGCGAGAGAGAGAGAGAGAGAGAGAGAGCGAGAGACAGAGACAGAGAGACGGAGAGAGAAAATGTACCCCCCAATCCCCGCCTCAAAGCTCTAAGATTAACCATCATCAAGGTTGGACTCTCTTTATAAGTAGTTAAGACAAGTCGAATTAATTCCAAGTGGATTCCCAAAAACTCAAAGGATATACTTGACTTCCCAGAAGAGATCAAGAACCAGATTCAAGTCTGTCAAAACATCTGATTTTTCAACTTTGTACACCACTATCTCACACAACAAACATTAGGAAAAACTTCATTCCTTGATCCATGGGGCTTTGGTTACAAAACGTGGTGGACACAGATAAAGTTACATCACTATCTTCAGAGGTTCGGGACATTTTGTAAAAAATGAAAGCAAATGCCATCTGAAGTTTACTGAGAAAACAATATGTGAAATGCTGGACTTCCTCAATGATAACACCTATGTACAATGTTGGGGCAAGACATTTAGGCAAGAAGTAGGCATCCCCATGGGCACAATTGTACACTCCGTCTTGCTGATCTGTTTCTTTGTGCATATTAATCGGACGCATCCATATTGAAACATTGTCGAGTATAATACTAAAAGCCTTCATCGAAGCTGAGTGAGTTAGTGAGTGAGAGTGTATGGCGTCACGCCGCCTTTAGCAATAATCCATCAATATCACGACAGGGGACATCAGAAGTGAGCATTATGTACCCATGTAGGAATCAAAGCCAACATTTCTAATCTATAATGCCATCTACTCAAATCGATTTAACGTTGTATGAAAGGCCCCAATGTTAAATAGTTCAGATGTGTTTGAGATTTATGAGCGCTTCCAGCTAAACTGACATCAGTCTTGCAGTTTATCTGAATTATCTTTTGTCATTGTTTGCAGTATACGTAGTCTGCATGGAGTAAACGACAACGACGTTTCCGGATCTAGTTAGTCCTTGTACATTGATACTAAGACACGAACTCAAACCATTGTCTTCGAAGTGCCTGTGACTCTAATCAGACTCCAAATGCCAGTATTTAACACTGTTTATACATGAAACATCGGGCAAGAAAACGTCTCCGGATTTGCGATAATAGCTCATGAAGGGGAGGCTACATATATACACTGAAGATAAATAAAAGCGACAAAGTTTTCCCCCAAAATCAATACAAACCTCCATTAAAAACTCCAGACACTGCAATCTCGCCCAAAACAACAAATCTGTAAATAATCTAAAAATCGACATATTTTATTCGGACTCAAAATAAGCAGAATTGCAGTTAACTAATATGCACATTGGCTATGTTACACAATTGTACAGACTAATGCCAAATCTCCTTACATATAATCGGGCCTGTAGACATGTTTCACTGGTCTTGTGATCCATGTCTGGCGTCAGCAACACACTAACTGTGTCATAATAGTATTTACAACACATGTACAAATCTTCAAAATCTGAGTGTAGAGAGATATAATGACAGAACATGCACATGTCAGTAATCTGTAACTGTCGGATTGAATATTAAGAAAATTAAATTGTGCAAATGTGAAATGTTACACTCAGTCCCGATAAACACACATCCCCTGTATCCCGACGAATGACTTAACATCTCTTTTGTGAGAGCATATCATTCTTGGTGTTAATTTACTTTCCTGTAATATCTTGATAAAATAAGTATTTGAATACAAACGTCAGACAAGATCTCTGGATATTACAATCAAAATATTTAATTTTTAAATTGGTCCACGAAATGTGTATTTAAATGAGAGACATGAGTTGAGGTCGCCGTTATGGCTTGTACCTGTGGTTGTTAAAGAAGACCTTCACCTCTCCAGAACCGTCATCAGTCGTCCTAGTTGATGACAATGGGTACATGCAAGGTAGAGCTCTTAAGATTATCTAAGGTTATCACAGACAGGAAGCGGAATATGCACTGCATCATGGGATTAAGTTAAAATACCACCTAGCACCACATCCCAAATGGGTAGCCTACCCTGCGTATGTGTAGTAATGTTCTATTCAGGGCTCGGCACTTCAAAGCGAAGATGTAGTTAATAAAACATTAATGAGTACAACTTGACACTGAGTACATCTTAAGATTGAGTACAACTTAATCTGAAGCATATACTGATGACCACAGGCTAATCAACCGTGCACGTGGCATTTCATTTGTGAAAATGGTTGTGAAATCCTCAGCAAATGGCAGTAAATGTAAATTCAGTAAAATTATAAAGGGAAATGTGGCAGAAGTTGAGACTACCCCGTTACTTTGTTATACCTAGTAATGTAGGCCTTACGGTGTATGATAGATCCTGGTTATGTGACATTCCCAGTGGAACTTAGGGAACAAGGTGACGATTGCATCCATTGATATGTTCTCCCAATGGACTTGGATCGAAAGCGCAGCTGCCTCGCATCCAATTGTCATCACTATCAAACAGAATCTGGTCAGAATTTTAGTTTTATAACTTAGTTCGGAAATGTACTTAAGTGTAACTTTTTATTAAATTCAATATACATGAAATTTTTCAATTATCATATTATATAAAACGGTTTTCAATGTTAACTCAGTCGCTGCTTAACTTTTGATCATCAGTATATTAGGTTTTTACCGGAATCAGATTCACGTGACCAACTTCGTCTTCATTAATTGGTTTATATTTCTACCAAATCGCGTGGCCTGTGCATAGCTATATTATGGCACTTAGAAACATATGGCTATAGCGAGGCAAATCCATGCAAACTTAATAACATTAGCTCGTATGTACAAAACATTGGTCGAGGAACATAAATGCAGTGATTCCACTCATTTCACTGGTTGCCTGATCTCAAGCACACAACTGACACGTCAGGCCCTTCCAGCGAGGACTCCCGAACACTCCCCCTAAACGTCAGCTGACACCAGATCACAGTTAAAAACACGTGTGTCGTAAATATTGTTCACCTCCAGAACGCAGTCTGCGGATGAATTACATAGAAATCTATTGGAGTAAAGAAGTATTTATGAAGACCAGGCATGTTCAAAAACAAGATGTCCATGATGACTTCACACTGTGTTGACGGACCACGTGTATAAGGTATCCTGGACCGTCCTACAGAGCACCGTATGTCTCAGTATAGCACTATATAGTGTCACCAGCACACCCTTTCTCCTACGTGTCCCTTGCACTGTCAGTCAGTATATATAGGCAGCACGATGTACTCTGAAGGTTCTCATGTTTCGTTGGAACAGGAGAGGCAGCACATTTTGGCGTAATATCCATATCTGCAAAGCCTTGCCTTCTTCACCAGCTGGCACTGCGAGAAGGAATCGGTACAGGCACCTCCTGGAAGTTAAACAGGAAATTTGGTCTTGCTTAGATGGAATCGGTACAGAGATCTTGTGAAAGATATAGAAAATCTCACTCGGGTGTCTTTTGATATCAAATATATCAACGAGTGTTGATGTATTTGATAACAAAAGACACGAGGGTGAGTTTTATTTATCATCCAACATCATTCGTCCAACATTTCAGTTTGTAGACAGTAATAAGCAGTGTCTTAAGTGTAAAGGGTACGGCTAACAGCTTCAGTGGCAAAGCCATTAGGGATGTCATTTGAATGGTCTGCAAAGCAATCTTGTGAAAGATAAACAGGAAATTAAGTCTTGCTGAGATGGAATCGGTACAGAAATCTTGTGAAAGATAAACAGGTAAATTAAGTCTTGCTTAGATGGAATCGGTACAGGAATCTTGTGAAAGATTAATAGATAAATTAAGTCTTGCTGAAATGGAATCGGTACAGGAATCTTGTGAAAGATAAACAGATAAATTAAGTGTTGCTGAGATGGAATCGGTAAAGGAATCTTGTGAAAGATAAACAGATAAATTAAGTCTTGCTGAGATTGAATCGGTTCAGGAATCTTGTGAAAGATAAACAGGTAAATTAAGTCTTGCTTAGATGGAATCGGTACAGGAATCTTGTGAAAGATAAACAGGTAAATTAAGTCTTGCTTAGATGGAATCGGTACAGGAATCTTGTGAAAGATAGACAGGTAAATTAAGTCTTGCTTAGATGGAATCGGTACAGGAATCTTGTGAAAGATAAACAGGTAAATTAAGTCTTGCTTAGATGGAATCGGTACAGGAATCTTGTGAAAGATAAACAGGTAAATTAAGTCTTGCTTAGATTGAATCGGTACAGGAATCTTGTGAAAGATAAACAGATAAATTAGTTTACGTTTGGTAGAAGGAATAGATGAATAGATTATAAAAGTACACAACCCTTTCTATAAACAAACAGGCAATAGTCTTGCTGTGTCCAGCTTGAAATGAAGATGTGACAGTAATAGTAAATTGATTTCGGAGAAAACTTTTTTATGTCAAACATAGTTAACCTCGATTTACTGTAGAAGCCTAGTTCAGCTCAAAATATGAAATACACACTGACAGTGCAAAGACAGCTCATTGCCAGATTGTACTTAACGCCACCCCACCTGTTTTGCTGGTAGGTTTTGGTCTTGCTACACACGACTGAGTGTTGCATGGCTCTCGTGTTCTAGGCTTGGACCTTGCAGGGCACTCTGCACTTGGCTGTTGGTTGGGATCCAGACACTTGACCTCCCGCGTCCTGTAGCCAGTTCCACACGACTTCGAACACTGCAAATAGAGGTTACAATGGACTGAGAACATGAAGCTTGTATTTGATCAGACAACTCCTCGAGGGAGGATCCATAAATACTTCATGAAAGCCCCAAATTGTAAAGCAAGATATTGATGACATCCTGAGGCAGTTAAAGAACCTTTAAATGTCAAACACGGTTGTGAATTAAAATTAGAAGTGAACCAGCTAAAACCATTCTGTGTCAGTAAATATACGCTGGTAATGTGTTTACAAGAATATTAATGCTTTTGTCGGTTGGGTATCGGACGTAAACGGCATCTGGCTGACGAGGTACTGCACTTTGGGCTCTGCACCCACTTAGATCAGATAGAACATTCCAACACACAAGACTGTTGTACGAATAACTTATAACCCTCAACGTCTGTCCGCTTGAAACCAAGGACTTGCAACTTGTTTATGTTGAAGGTGAAACTGAAGAATGTCGCCAAGGTCACACAAGGACTTTGGCTGAACAACCACGTTATGATTATCGAACATTCATAAAAGATGTAGTTAATTGCTTTATAAGCAGATAAAAGTGGTTCTATAACGGGACATCGGCTGAACATGTCCAAGTCCTGGACACTAAAGGAAAATGTTAATGGCCGTTTTCAATTACGCTTCCATTCAAACTTTGATGTGACGCGTGCAAAAAATCAATCAGATTTACCGTTTTTTTATTCTGAAAGTCAGCCTTGAATCAATATGAAAAATGATTTGTCAGAATACAGAATTTGACGAGCAAGCATTAAACGCCATTGCTATTTGTTTTGACAGGTCACCTTGTCTTTAGCTGCAGCTGGGTTTATGGTGAGCCCTGCAGGGCACCAGCAAGCTGGAACATTAACCAATATACGTGGCCGTTTGGGTGGGATGGATGGCAATACTGAGTTATGGAGACAAAGAGGGGTGTTTAATACGTCTTCATCTACTCCCCTTACAACAAATTGTGAGCCCCAGGACGAATGGCGACATCCAGTGTTTATCAAATGACAGAAGATCTGCGGGGGATCACTCACAACTTATTTTCACTGTGTAATGGAAGTCGAATGTCTTGAAACGTTGGAGAGGTGTTCGTCCTTCGTCAGGAAACAAGGGCTCGTAGAGAAACACGAAGTCACGTGACTCAACCCTGTCTCACATTGATACGCCGGCGACCACATTGTGTGTCATAGTTATGTGTGTGTCGTTAACGTGTGCGCGTGTCGTGGGAGGAAATCTGACCAATTGTGTCAACATTTTAAGAGAGGAAATCTGTAAAGGATTGTTGTCCCCCATATGGACCACCTGACAGTCTTTTGATGTCGGTGAACTGAGGGAAGTCTCGCGGGGAATAATTTACTTTCATATTACGGGTTTTCCTTTTGTATTGCAAAGATCACGTGTTACGTCATGGTATTGTCACTAAGGTGTAGGGACTTTCATATATGGGCAGGCTGGTGACAGACTTCAGTGTATGTATTTACAGATGTACGCGACAAACTCGGTGTGGAGCATGCAGATGTTGATTGTTCTCCTAAGAGAGTTTGTTTAGTTGTTTGTTTGTTGTTTAACGCCGCACTCAGCAATATTCCAGCTATATGATAGCAGTCTGTAAATAATCGAGTCTGGGCCAGACATTCCAGTGATTGACATCATGAGCACCGATCCACGCAACTTGGATGCAATGACATGCATCAACCAAGTCAGCGAGACTGTTCAACCGAACCCGTTAGTCGCCTCTTTCGACAAGCATAGTCTCCTTTTACAGCAAGAATGGGTTGCTGAAGACCTATTCTACCCCGGATCTTCACGGGTCAAACATCCCACGACACCACCATATTGCTGTATCCTCCACAGACACAGAACTAAAGCCATTCCGGGCTGTCAGCAGTGTATTATGGTGTATATGCAACTGAAGCTATTCAACCTATGTATATGTGACGCTGTGGTATAAATTGTCCACAAGATTTTCTCAAAATGAGTACTTATTTTTACTTTAATTAAGGACATAGTTTTTAACACATATCAATTTATTCGTTGATCTCAATGGTTTTGTGAATTAAACCCAGTACTGCTTTTGCTTCCTTTACCCGAGTCAGGAGATCTTGGTCACAACAGGCCCGCTCACTACTAGAGGGACACCGGTGGTCTAGTGGTCTCAAACATTTGTTTTCTCTTAGTCATACCAGGATGTGCTGGTCGTTGGTTCTAATCCCGCTATGCTGTCAAGCACATGGTATGTCTAAACTACTATCACTCTCTCACTCTCATCACCAACACAGCGTTCCACGGGCAGGAGAACCAGACAATGAATGTCAATTCTAAACAATTAGCCAAACATGGGGCAGATAATTAGCCGAACAAGGGGCAGATAATTAGCCGAACAAGGGGCAGATAATTAACCCAAAAAGGGGCAGATAATTAGCCGAAAAAGGGGCAGATAATAAGCCGAACAAAGGAGAGATGATTAGCAGAACGAGGGGCAGATACTTAGATGAGCGGGTGAAACTCCTACCTCTGCCCATGACGTCATGTACCACTCGGGATGACATTCCGGCAACTGGCATTCCTCCCCAGTTTCGGGCTTCTCCTTGCCCTTACAGTTATCTTCCGTCACCACCGCCAGAACGCCTCCAGGCAGGTTCTTGACGCACGCCACGTCACGTGATCTGACGGCGTACCCACATGTCCCGTTACACTGAAAGGGGACATACATGTAAGTCATTTCTCAAATACAAAAGTAGAAGAATATTCTAAAAAATATAAACGCTGCAAATCACGAGCTACACTTGCAATATATACACCAGCGAATATCGTGTTATCAGAAACTCGAGACAATCCACTGTGTCCGTAAAATTACATGGCATAAGGAGATATCGAGAATTGAATGAGTGAGTGAGTTAGTATTGTTTTACGCCGCTTTTAGCAATATTCAAGCAATATCACGTCAGGGGACACTTGAAATGGGCTTCACACATTGTACCCATGTGGGGAATCAAACCCGGGTCTTCGGCGTGACGAACGAACATTTTAACCACCACAGGCTACACCCATCGCCCCTCGAGAATTGAGTTCGAATACAACATGGAGTACAATACATTTGAACGTATTTTCTTGATTAAAACACTGTGAGTACCTTTGACCACTCCCCGACGAACCAGTTGCCCCCGCACGGTGTGTCCACTTTACATGTCTTCTCTACACGGGGCTTGTCCAGTTGGTCGCAGCGGTCAGTGTCCAGGGCCACGCCCTTCTCGCCTGCACACATCGTCTTCCTCTTCATCGTGCCCTCCCCACACGACACCGGACACTGCAAACCGACAGACGTGTCACGACGAGCACCCCATGAAACTAGGTCATTAGTGCAGGGAATGAATGAGTAGAATTTTACGCCGCTTTATTCCACCCAGGTGCGTATCAAACGGTGGAATTCAAGAATGGGGTCCACGTGATGTTCCCATTGGGGATCAAACCCAGCTGTAACGCTGCTACACCCAGGCTCCCCCCCCCCCCCCGTGACTCTGTAACCCCTGTACATGTAACAGTTTCTAGGAGAATTCACAGGTGGAGTAAACACCTCTGTATGTAGAACAGTTACGTTTGTTGTTAGGTTTGCTAAAACTAGCATCTGCTACTGATTTATAAACTAGCCGTTGACTTTCTCCTGTATGCGCAAGACCTGCCGTCCAGTATAAGCCGAAAATATAGACCCCTGAACAAGAATATACATGTTCAGCTGTTGTTTTTAGTTTTTCTCATCAAATGTTTATCTAATTGCTTTAACACGAACATCTTTACAGGAAAGTACTTCACAATTTTTACTATATTTACTAGTTAATTGCACATCGTTCTTTCATATGTTGGCGTGGCCAAGGTCGACTTTTACATGCCATCAAATAACTGACCATGTTTTTTCTATATTTAGTGCTGAATGTTTGCAACATGATGACTTATGCTGAATGTGACCACAGACATTTTCAAGCAAGTGACATCTGGTTAGTTAATGGGGGATGGTGTGTTTTACTTCCTGTACCCGGACAAGGAGCTGTATAGGTAGTCATTCTTTTGAATTTTATTGCTTCTCTAAGGCCACATTGTCATTCATGTACAGGTAATAGCCGTTGAATGCTTAGTTATTTTAGAAAAATATATAACGTTTAGTATGGAAGCCTATGGGAAACATGTAACCTGTAGGAACACAACGTAGACACAACTCGCCTACCTCTTCTGGCCATTGAGTGGAGTACCAGCCCTTGCCGCAGCTCCCCATGTTACAGTTCTCCTGATTGGCTGGTTTGAGTACCGTGCAGAGTTGAGAGGTCACGACAGTTCCTGCTGCGTCCGTGCACGTGACTTCTCTCTGTCTCCTTCCCTGCCCACAACGACTTGAACACTGTGGGTGAGAATGACATCAGGTAATGGCAGCCAAAAGAACATCACGTCTTGGGGGCTTCTACGCCGCCGGCTTTTGGGTAAAGGCGCCCCTCGCGAAGAACCCAGTGAACTGAGTGAGTGAGTTAGGTTTTACACCCCACTTAGCAATATTCCAGCACAATCACGGCGGGGTAAATGAACTTCACAAAGTGGACCCAAAGTGGGGATCAACCGCTGGCCTTCAGTTCGACGAGCCCAACGCTTTAACTAAGCTGTCCCACCGACTTGAGAATCTAATAAGACAGATAGTTGAAGGCGATGACAAATTGACTGTTTGGTTTGGGGACCTTATTGCAAATGAGGATTTGAAAGATTTGGCAATTTGAACTATTTTCTTAGCAGAGGCTACTGCGATATATGAGTGTTTTTTTTAAAGATAGGAGAGAAGTAATTACTGTTTACCAATCATTTGTGACAGGATCATACATTCCCATCATCTACCCCCACCCCCACCCCTAACCCCCCCCCAAAAAAAAACAACAAAAAAACCCAACCAAACCCAACCAAAAATACAAAAAATACACGCAAACACAAAACAAGGACGATAAGGAAGAACCAAAATCATTTTGAGTGACCAAGATGATGCTTATTACATACAGTGCAAAATGCACAAATATTGAGAGAAGAATGACATAACGACGGTGTGTTTGATATTTTTCTTGAAATGTAGAAGATAAACTGAAACTAAACATAACCCTAATAAATTCCTTTGTATGATGGGACACTAAGCCTTGGTCGACGGTCGTGGGTTCGAATCCCGGGCAGGTCCTGATCATGAACCTAACTCAACCAGTGGTATACGTCTAGGACTTGCCAGACACGCCGTGATACAGCTGGGAGAGAGTACACCTGCCCGTGACACCCACCCCGCGGATCTTACACTAACAGACAACACATGTATTTCAGAAACATATTCAAGCCATACATCATTGGTGCGGCCGTGATATTTGCACCCGCAATGGCGACCATGTCACGCCACCGTTGTGCACTGCGGACTTCCCCATGAGTAAGACGGAGACTGGAAATGGGACGCTTACGTTCTGCCAGTGCTTGTTTATAGCATCATGTCCTTGCAGTAAGGACTTGTAAACTGCATGTGTCGAGGCTGTATAATAAACACGACCGAATTATTTCAAAAAACCCAAACACACATCATAACGCAGCTCCCTATAGCCCATGTTATGTTAAAACATCTGGTTTACCATATTACTGGTCTCGGCATGACATTACATATATTCAAAAATATAGACATATGTTAAAAAATATATCGCTGGAATGCCAAATAGCTTACACTATTTGACAACTTTCCAATGGTAAAAAAACCAAACCGTTAACGAGTTTACGATAATTGCTCATTATGCATGAAACAATGGTGATTTGATAACGTTCAGCTTAAATCACTCTTGGCGACATTAAGCTTCAAAAGGAAACTCAATATACAAACAGCCCGACAGTTGGACAAAAGGCATCTGTCAAAGAAACCTGTTCCCCCAAACCTATTATCAAGGGTTTAGTTGATTTCTCTGTGTCACCGCATGCCTGACATACATGCACAATCTCACCGTGTTTAGCGTTCAGCGACAGTCGGTGTTGATGTCGCACGTGATAACGCGGTGCAGCGATGTGTAGATATTACTCACAGATCCAATACTACGTCCTGTAACGTCATGCAACATGGCTGCTGTTTTTTGTCCAACCGAGACACCCACGGTATAAATGACTGCCAAAACGGTATCACATTTTGTTATGTCAGGGTTTTCTGTCTCAGAAAACAATCTTAGAGTTATCTTCAGCATGTTTTTGTATCTCATTCGAGGATGTGTCATGGTTCGTCTACACGCCGGGTGGTCGTCAAAGAAACGCTTCTCTTTGCAACTTGGAAAAGTAAACGCTCAAAAAACAAAGTTTTCTAAAAACAAAGTATGTGTCAAAATATGTTCAAGAATCACGCCGGGGTTTGCAGTGTGGCCAACCAGGGATGAGAAAAGGGCTGAGTACGGCATGTCCATGTCGATGACCGGCGATACAGTAAGCTAGGAGCGCTGCAAGTCAGTTGGTCAAACGCCATTTCGAACATTATTTCAGTCAAATGTCATAGTGTGACAGGTCTTTGGTGAAGCCAACGCGGACGTAATGGTGCTGGTAGGGTGCTGGCAAACCAAGAATTCTAACCACGACAATTCAGGGATTCGAACTAGGTCAGCCGTGTCCCTTTAACTCCCGACAGTTAATCAGAACCTCGTCTTCATTCAAAACACAATCTGGAAGTGTTTGCGGGTTACGGCAAAGAGGGGATAAACCATATTCAAGGAAATTCCAAATTCCAGGGTTAAAACGGTGCAGTAATAACCAGGGGAACGTTCTGCTTGGGGATTTGGAAGTATCTGTTTGAAATTGTTTTTTACATGCAGCAGACACAAACAGAATAATATATATCGTAGCCCCTCTGGAATACAATAAATTTAAACCGAAGTTTGAAATACCAATGCGATAGTATTGCAAGAATGTGGAAACAACCCCGAAATAACGGTTTTCAGCGCCGTTGACATTTTTTAAAGCACATACTTGAAGTGTTCCCACGGATAAAGAAATTGCAATGTTACATAACTGTAAATCACGTCTTGAGTAACCCTGACAGGGTTAAAGTGTCGCAATCATTGAAGACGAACTATTTTTTTATGCCCAAAACTTGTTGTCCCAACTGTACACCGCGACTGAGCGGACTCGGAGACCCTCGCGGCATGTCTCACAGAGAACGCCACTTTACCATTGCCAAAGATTCCATTCCATCACCAAGCCTGTTCTTGGTAATTACCTCACGCTGTTACACATAGACATGGTACACGGTGACTGTGGAGTGTGCTGCAGCTGCATCTTCCTCCATACATTGTTACTCTGGAGGTAACGGGGATCACTGAATGATGCAGCACTCATCTATCGCTCTCGACATTAACGTCGTTGACAGCAGATATGTATGTGTTATGTTGTGGATGTTTAGGTCCATAACACCGTCTTATTCAAATAGAATACCAGCCTGTTGCTGATGGGAGGAATGTCATGAATACATATTTGAAGCTGATGGCAAATGGAGGAACCCTGCTCGCAGACAACATGGTAAGATAGTAGTTTGAAGACGCATCACTGACACTACTGCTGACACAGACACTTAGACTTGCACAAGTCTCTAAGGCAATACTTAGTTAATCATAATTTCTAGATAATGTAAATAAGAAGAACAAGTGGTCCCTATAAGAGACATGAGTCCTACTGTCCACACATCTGGACTTGCATATTAGGAGGAAAGAATTACAACACTTCCATGGACTTATCTTTCAGTACAGCCTTGGAGCAAGTCTAACTGACACTGCATCACAGCGATATAAATCGGCGTCTGATAGCTTTGTGAAGTGTTCATTTCCTATTTGAACGTCAGTCAGAGCAGTGAAAAGCTGGAAAACCATCAAATACCTGAATCAAGTCCAATGTTCAGGATTTCAGATTTCTATTTTAGATAACGTTTCAAGACTACTTGTCCATTTACACGCCTGAAATAGGTACACAAGCACTTAATCACATGTAACACAAATAGCTACCTAATGAGCATAGCCATCGGGTGACAATGCCCCTCCTCCTGGGGTAACCACCTACCAAATACTCCTCAGAGAGCTGAGAATAAAAAGAACACTGATTCGCTGACTTAGATGGAATTTGTAGGCTCTATGGCGCTGCGTGGAATCAGCGTGATACAGATGTTCATACTATTTTCACATGTATAATCAACCGTTTGATGTCTAACCTTGCTCCAGTTGCCTGTGATCCACAGGTAGCACGCGGTGATCTCGCACGTCTGTGCAGTTGCTGGCCTCTGGGCGCTACAGGAGTTGTCGGGCATGGTGAGGTTGAGGGTAGCGGACACACGCGACTTGCAGGTGGCGGTTCGAGTCTGGGTTCCCGGGCCACAGGTGGTGGTGCAAGTGCTCCATTGTGATGACTCCCAGCTGAAAGACCAACAGAATATGAAGGACGCACATCACCATGGAGAACTACACTGGTGAACTACACGTCGCTATGAGGTGACTCCACCTGTTTACTATATCAACCACCTGAGCAGGATGTCACGCTAAAGTCGCCCAGATAACGTGTCTGTTTTCTATTACGCTTTATCAAACTCATTTAAGAATCTTAAGAAGATACCTTCATAGTTCCATGTCCTTATGTCACATACCTTATTATCCATTTACAATCAAGCCCAGACCTAATTCAAAATTAACATACCGTTTATATTAGTGTCAAGAAAATCAGTAATTTTCTTCTCGTGTCACTGGATTTTCTGGTTCATTGATCACCTGATTGTCTGGTTTGTTTGAAGGCTGACGTCGCATGGCACTAGTACTGCTGGGTCAGGCAGTAAATACTTACTGTTTTATGCGAATTGTACGAATGGCGGTGCTAACGGCATGGCGGGACATGTTTACCCTTTTCGCGAACACCTGGTTGTCAATTTATATAATTTCAACAGTTCCTTACCCTTTTCGCAGTGAAATCTGTTTCTGCAGAAAATCTGGGCTTGTTATTCTCTTGCATTGACAATTCTATTTACCTGGTTTCCAGCAGAGCTATCAGGTTAAACAGGAAGGTTTTGCCTCAACAAAGGCGAAGTATGACAGCTGTACAACTAAAGAGTACATTCAGGTTGAAGTGAACAGCCTTAAACACCGCTTTGAACGGCACTTCAGTTATATCAGAGTGTGTCAGATTGACGTGGGAGGAAATCCCCAAGTGATGCAGGTTTTAGACGTTTACGAATGTCTGCTATAATTGCACCAGATTAATACTCCTCAGGGGATAGAGCTTGACGTACTGGTTCAAATAAATAACGCATTTCGGACATAACAAACTGAACCTGGTTTTCTTGGGATAAGGGGATGTGTCAGGCTATCAGATGATAGTGCAGGGCCATCTCCCACATGCCATCCCATGGCGGTCCGGGTAATGTTATTTCAAGGTAAAACGACCGCAGTTTAATTCCAACAAGAATGTAACACACGAGGCCCGCTAGGTATAATTATGTGATCATGTTCTGTCCCCTGTCCTGCTGGTGGCCAGACGGCAGTACGGAGAATCACCGTGTGCAACTGCCACAGACGCGGTGAACTGATATACCTCTCACATTAATCAGGGGGTAAGGGGGACTGTCATCGCTATGTGATAGCATCATCACACCTGACAACACAGACAACAGAGCGACACGGGTGAATCCATGAAGCTAGATGTATGTCTGAATGTACTAGTCACGGAAGGTAAAGAATTGTCTTCATACAAACAAATATACAAACCACTGAATACGTCTGTACCATGTTTCTATTAACAAGCATTCCTAAACACAATTCAATATTTTGGAAAAGTCCTTTCATATTGTTTGAGGATATTTGAAATGTAAAACCACAGCTCACTTGAAGCACAAGCCTCACAGTTCCTATGACCAACTATCATAACCCTCGATCACTTATGCAGGTAGATCTCAAACAGGCTAAGCAACATTGACCCAAAGAGATTCGAACTTTGCACCATTGAATCTGAAAAAGTTCAGAAAAGACATTCTACTGTAGATGGTCAATAGATAAGGAGCATATTTGTGATCTCAACATACATACATACTATAGCAGAACAACCATCACGAAAGGCAATCTTCCATGAACGGACGTGACATCCAGCATGATTGGTTCATGGTTTGTTCATTTGTGACGTGATGGAACCCATCCATGATGGAAATGTCATATGTGCTCCTGTTCCTGTCCACAGTAACTCAGGCTGCCAGTTGAGCTGTCATCATGATGCACATGTCTGGGATGCTACACTCACATGAGTGAAGGACCGGCGGCATTAACACCTTCCACAATATTAAAGCTGTCAGCCTAAATAAACGTCATCACACATCCTGAACAGTTTTTGTAGTTCCAGAGATTTAGAAGAATGTCTTCTTGAGAAGCAAGACACACACTGTGTGGAGGAACGACAAGAACATAGGAAACATTGGATGGCGGAAGCCATGGTGGAATGCTATATGTGCCAACATGTGTCGCTCGGGAATATATAAAGTTATTCTTTTCCAAACATAGAATATTTAAGTCATAAACTTAAATTGTGTGAGTTGGAATTCTGTGCACTCGTCTCTTCATTTTAATTTTCCTCAACAAACCAAAAAACCCTTAGCCTACATAAATCTACAGAATACTTTCCCTGACCGCCTCCAGCAATAATATAAAGAATTTGTCCACGGTTGAATACACATAATTGAAATAATCTCGTTATTCAAGGTCTTGGTCCAACAGTAGAAACCACACATGTTGAGTACACCTTGCCTACCCTGCTGTACGCAGTCTAGTGTTGGAGGTGGCCTTACCTTGCTGTACGCAGTCTAGTGTTGCAGGTGGCCTTACCTTGCTGTACGCAGTCTAGTGTTGCAGGTGGCCTTACCTTGCTGTACGCAGTCTAGTGTTGCAGGTGGCCTTACCTTGCTGTACACAGTCTAGTGTTGCAGGTGGCCTTACCTTGCTGTACGCAGTCTAGTGTTGCAGGTGGCCTTACCTTGCTGTACGCAGTCTAGCGTTGCAGGTGGCCTTACCTTGCTGTACGCAGTCTAGTGTTGCAGGTGGCCTTACCTTGCTGTACGCAGTCTAGTGTTGCAGGTGACCTTACCTTGCTGTACACAGTCTAGTGTTGCAGGTGGCCTTACCTTGCTGTACACAGTCTAGTGTTGAACATGGCCTTACCTTGCTGGACAGGGTCTAGTGTTGCAGGTGACTGCTGTCGGGGCGGGTTTGTGCAGCCGGGCACAGTTCTCATCTGTGACTACCGCCTGGTTCCTGGTGTTCACACACACTACGACAGTCTGTTGCACACCTGGAACATTCACACAATCACCAGTACAGGCGGATGAGGAGGAGGCGGAGGAGGAGGTGGAGAAGGGGAAGGAGGAGGAGAAAGCGTTAGAAACAGTTTCAACTTTACGGGTCGGGTTTATGTCCCCCGAGAATACCATGGAACATGGGCGACAAAAAATGCTTAATATGCAAATAATATACAGTACCCAAAACAATTGTGAATATTCCCCACGGTCTTGGGCCTAATTCTGTTGTGCTGTTGTGAAACTAAAACATTGCCTCTGTGAGAGACGAATAATAACTGCGAGATTACTGTACACAAATAGAATAAGCTGGTGTAGAACGACATGATTCACACTTGGACAGCCAGTTGGGTCAAGCCTAGGCCCTCGTACAAAAATACCTATGCTAAAATAACATTCATAATTCATTGTAGTTTCCAGTTGTCCGTCTAACATAAGAACATAATTTGTAGTCGCCTCACCTCCTCCACACGTTGTGGTACAGTCTGTGAACCCAGACACTCTCCACACATAGGTGGCTCCAAGTACTTCATTTGAGAGTCCGCCATTCAGCGTCGGGTTCACCAGCCTCTTTTCATTCGGGATGATGTTTCTGGTGTAGGACTTCCCTGCCGTCAAGGCCTGGTTACCCCCGGGTGTAAGGGGTGGCAAGCCGGAGAGTGGGTCCACTCCATTAGCATATTTTGTAAGTGGCTCCCCTGGCTGAGTAGCTGTCGACCCGAAACCTTCATATCGAGGCCTGGAACTGATGACGGGCTGTTGGGGAATGATCTGCTGTCCCGTGGATACCCCTACCGGCTGTTGTGGAATGACAATCCTTCTATCCGATCCTCGAGGGTCTAGGGCTCTGTCAAAGTGACCTAGAGGGAGTGTCTCGTCGACTATGGTTCTATGGTCAACTGTCTGGCGTCGAGGCGTTTGTTGCTGATTTGGTCTTGGAGCAGGATCCCTCGAGTTGATAGTTCTGTCAATGTTATGGGAGACGCGTGCATTCAGTGACGGTTGATGACCAGGAGATGTTCGTCGGTTGCTGGTTTGAGAACCATGACCTTGATTGTCTCTTGTACGGACCCCCTGGTTTTCATTTCGACGATAGGTACGTCCGGATTGCTGATCTCTGTCAGAAGGTGAAGCGTTAACGTTGGCCTTCAACGTGATGCTGGAACCAGCTCTCTGCTTCTCTTGGTCAACCCGACGCTCACCGGTTGCTCCGAGTCGGAGGCCTTGGGAATTCCTGTCAACACTACCAAGCCTTCTTTGAGGAGGAGGTGTTGTGACAATGGCTGCCTGGCGATGGTGATGTCGATGTCGCACATGGTGACTCCGAGGAGTCGTAGATTGTCCATGTATCTGCGATGTGTGCCGGATTCCACCCTGTTGACTTCGTATCCTTGATGTGTCGGTTCCTTGAATGCTTGGCAGTTGTGAACTACTTGATATGCGTCTGTTCACTGAGGGGGCAATTGAAGATACTTCGCTTTTTTGAATTAGTTTCTGTCTTTGACGCAGTAATCGCTTTTTCTGTGCATCTCTCAGAATCTTAAATCTTTCTCGGAATGTAAAGCTCTGAGAATACTTTGGAATTCTAACACTTCCTCGTCGCCCCGGTCTGCCGAAAGGACGACCTACCCGCCGGATTGCTGGCTGAACACTTGAACGGCCGAGTGATCTGCTGTATGTCCGGAACCGGCTGTCTCGTTGTGGTACGTTCAGAGTACCCCGTACAGTCGTTGCTGGAGTCGCTGGTGTTGTAACCTCTACGTGTGTTGTTGGTGAATAACCTCCTTGGCTAGAATCCGTTTTTCTTGTCTCTGTCTCTGCCTTTACTGTGTTTGGTAACCTGTATCCACGTCTGTTGTAAACTGGTTCTCGTTCTCTAAATCCATCTCCCAGCCCAAGAACTTCATCGCCTCTGCTTTTATCATATGGTTCTTCTTCTTCTTTTTCTTCTTCTTCATTACTATCATCATCATCTCCATCATTACCATCTTCTTCATCACCATCTTCTTCCTCTTCATTATCATCGACATCTTCATCTTCATCAGCAAAGTCATTCACCTTTTCCTTCTCGCCCTCAATCTCCACATTTCCATTATCACCAGCCTCATTAACTTCTTCACCTAAGTGGCTCGACTCACTATTGTCTTCATCATTCCTTTCATCACTCTCTTCTCTTTCCTGTTCTCCTCCATCATCGACCTCTTCACTTTTCTCCCCGCCTTCACCAGCATCCTGTTCACCCTCATCGCCTTCCTGTTCACCACCTTCATCCCTTACATCAGTCTCCACCATCTGTTCTCCCCTCTGCTGCTTCAACACAGCTGCCCCGTCAACCACCTCCAAACTTGTATCGCCCTCATCCTCTCCTTTAGACCCCAGCTCCGACAACACAAACGTGGGACCTTTTTGACTCTGTTCCTCATGAACGTTGGCACGATCAGACCATGATTCCACGTTAGCCTTCAGAAGAACCGTAGCACCATTTCCTTTATGGAAAGTATATTCCTTCTGACCAAACGACCCTCTAATATGATCCTCCTGAGTGTCTGGTCTCGCCATGACACCTTCTTCGAGGTCCTCATGGGGATGTCTACCGTGGCTCTCTACAAAATCTTCCCTGAAGGGTTCTGTCGCCTCCTCCTCCTCATCCTCCTCCTCCTCATCATCATCCTTGTCAACCTCTACATCTACATCAGTTGGTCCTCCCAGTTCCAGATTAGCCAACTCTGGCTGGGCAACGGTAGCAGTACGTGAAGGAATGACGGTGGGTGGTGCAGCTCTGGTGAGAACATGACTTTCGTCACTACGAGAAATGATTTCTTTGAAGTAAGCGTCCGTTACATCCACAGGCACATTGAAGCTGTACATGACTCCAGGGTTCTGATGATAAACCAGCATCTGTGTAGGAAACAATAGCCACGTGAGTACATCATCTGACAAGTGTAAGGGACAAGTGAAAAAACAAACTTGAAACTCACTCCACATTATTATCAGGGAATAGTCCCTTTGCGACTTATATATAGCGATATACTTTCTTCAAACAACACAGATGTCACTGACGATAGACCACTTTATGAAGACCCACTGGTGACAATTAGGACATAAACATTTTCAATGTAGAGCCAGGTTACTCTGTAGATTTAACCCCACCAATTTGAATTTGGAACAGAACGCGCAAAAGGGTCGACACTTTAAACGCCAATAAGCCATTTATATCCCTGTGTGCAATTCAATATGAAGTCGTAAGGATTAAAATTATATGCGTTCCTCACAGAAGTCATTTACGTTTGACGTTAAGTGCTTCTAATTGATGTCTAGTTTGTATTTGGACTGCATTATGACCAATGTAGACAAGAAAGAGTTTGACAATGGTTTCTTCCCGTCCTTACCAAGACGTCTACGGTTTGGTTTAGTGGGCCCCGAGCGAAGATACATTCTCCGGGACATTCACGTGACTGCTTCTTGTATATGAAAGTAGTTCCGGCAGCTTGATAGTTCCCGGATGCTGACATTGTCCAATTACCGTTTACGACTGATTTTGAGCGAGTTCTCAAACCTGAAAAGAGATACGTAAATGTAATGGACGCAAGATTTCTCACAGGATACTGCTTATCTGAACAATACAGTCTGGATCTAGCGGCGGTCGACACACATGGACACACGTGCCGAAAGTATTTAACACTGGAACAATAGACCATGTATCAAATAGGGAATCAATAGAGATGATCACACCTAAAGACTAGTGGTATCTATGAACATATGTAGATGGAACATTGGCAGAGTCCATCGCACTATTCCAACTATATCATGAGCATGTGTTTATGATTCACTATCAAAGAGCGCTGGCACCAGGTGTTCGCGAGAAGGATATCATATCCTGCCCAACCGTTACACCCGCCACAAACACGTGCACAGGCAAGTCAATTGATCACAATAGGAGAAGCATAGACCTGACAGTGCGGCTTCTTGAAGGGGGAGTGGGAGGGGCCCCTTTGACAAGCCACCCTGTTTGTCATCTCAATGCAGTCACTTCCCACTTACTGAGGTAATTATTACTGGGTCTGAGCTCGGTGATGTTCACTCCGGTACTGCCTGCTGGTATGGTGGTGATCTTGGTGTAGCCGCGTGGCAGGTCGGGGCGCGTAAACACGCCGGAGATGGTTCTACAGGTGCTGTTGTCGCCGTTACACACCCCGCACTTGTCCAGCGTCGCGTTAGAACCCACTAGGTCATCACAGCCAACTTTCTACACACAATATAGAGGGCGTTTAAATTTTAAAAAAATCAAATCATATCTTGAATATCTTGGATATTCGTGAAAAACATATCAAACGAAAATAAAATTTCTTAATGACTAATCTTGCTTCCTCTTATTCAAACAAAATCAGATGCCATTTACAAAGAGATAAATCAACGTGTGAGATGTATGTAATGTGTACTTGGTTTATCACTCAACAACGTTCTTGCCATATCACGGGGGACTTCAAAATAATCGAACCTTGGTCAGATAAACCAGTGGTTGATGTTATGAGAAACGTCGCAAACCGTTTGGGGTCGATTACTCACAATCAACCAGGTTACCGAACCCGACCGCCCGATCCAGTCGCCCTACAGGACAAGCATAGGTTATTGGGGGTCACATGTGACCACACAATTCACGTATATGTCATCCCACCTTACCCAGAATCCACGCAATATGTTGATTTATTGACTTTTTCATATACTGACCCACGTATTTGAGTGTATCTATTGCTTCTCACGCTAAAGTATAAACGTAACGATTTCTGAAGTATTTAGAAGTTAATAGGTCCGTACGATGCACTTGCGCCGAATGCAGACAGAAAATGACGTCAGATCACATGGAGTGCCATCTCCCACCCGATTGGCTAGGCGAGCGTAGAAATGTTGACCTTTAGCCCGGCATGTCAGCTCACACTTGTTATTAGCTAAAAATAAAATGATTTGGCCAGGTTAGATTACTTCCAAGAGCATGTTCTTGTCTTCTACTTTGTAAACTTTACCAAAAAACGTTCAATATTCTGCAGTTTCCCACATACTTACGGTTAATGTATGGCTCCCATTCATACTTTTTGCCATTAAACACTCTAGCATTGAATTTACGGCACTGCTTTTGACGGACATTTTCAACCTTGGGTGGACATTTCTGAAAACAAATTATCCTTATTAGTAAGTACAGGTCTCATTTTCATTCAGAAAAATAACATCTGGCAAATATGAAAAAATGTCCATCAAGATAACTGCGCCAGGAATATCATGCGAGTAAGTCTTTTTATTGCTTCCGTTGATAATCATAGGGATGTGGCGTTTAGATTTACTCAACAAACTGACGACGCTGGTGAAGTGTTTATTGTTCCAGTCAACACACATCGTTATCAATGAATATAAATATAAATATGAAATTAGTCATTCTTATAAATGTTTAAATAAGTTTCACCAGTGAAACAGATGATAGGTCATAGGCCTGAACCTACTGAGCACAGCGAATCCCGTTGTTGTATATGTTTTACTTACATGCTTGTTACAGACGCGGATCTCTCTCCCTCCTCCTTCACACACAACGCTGTCATCTGCCCGGATGCTGCAACAGACACACCTCATCCTTGTATTCAGAATTGAAATAATCGATGGTATATATGAATAAACGTTACATCAAACAAGCATGCAAACAGTCGAATCTGGCCCAGACAAACCAGGGATTGATAATATGAGCAACGCCTTTGTGATACGCTCACGCATAATCAACTAACCCGAAACACAACTGGGTTCCTTGAAGATGTACCACGAACAGTAGTTGATGTCGAAACTGTTTGCTGCTTTTATTTCTATTTCGGAATATTATTAAAAGATGAAATGGCACTGTCAAGTAGCATATTCACCCCCTAGCATTGCTGGTAGCTCGGTATGGCCATGGATGTAGTTTATGACTACATCTGTGTCATAATTATGAAAGTCCTACTTAGACATATAAGAGAATACCATCAACACGCCGACGTCTAAGCCACTCGACATGAATCAACCGAAGAAGGACGATGCTAAAGGTGCTCCGCATTGTAAAAGACCTTCAACATCTACCTCAGTTTCGATTTCTAAACTTAGACTAACCTACTTGAAGAAACAAATTGCTATCTTTCCTTTTCCTTGGTTGTTAATGATACCATTCCTAGAAATAATACGAGCTGCAGAACACCAGTAGTGTAGGTTTCAGACAGACTAGATTAAAAACCAGCCCGAGAATCCACGAACGCTCCTTCTACGGCATGTGTTCCGTGTAACCTAATCTTGATGTATCGGAATGAGGTGGTACAGCGACGACGGGAAATATCTTTGACGATAACACAGGGGTATGGCTATCGTTAAGCATCACATTTAAATGAGAAAAGTTTGAACTACATTGGGTGATAAGTACAGGTTGGATTGCCTGTTAAAGGTGGACCCGGTAACTATGATTCAAGACATACGGATTTTGAAGGGGGACCCCCGCAAGTTTGATTCAATATATCTACCACTGCATGATCTACAATACTTACACAGAGACAATGTCACAAGTTCACGTATGGTAATAATAACTATATCTCAACTTCGAGGTGAAGTGGGCTCCAGAAGGTCGAATATACACACTCGTATAACTCATCACTTCTACCACTACTGGTTTTGACAACCTCGCATTGTGATCGATGTGTGTAGACGATGGTGTATTTATGAATATCAGAAAGTATTTATCAGGAACCGAATTCCCATTATTGTCTAGATATTGATTCTGATACATGTCACATCACGTTTATCCACACTGTGTACATTCATGGTACGAACTAAACACAACTGCAGTCAACTCACCCTACCGAATATATGTATAGAAGGTTACTTGTATGAAACTGTATTAAATAGTAACAAATAGTAGATGCACTGTCGCCTGCAGACCGGAAGTCATACCTATGCATCGCTGTTGAGAACACGTTCCTACCTCATGATCAAAAGAGGTGACATGGAATTTGATCACTAATATATCGACGTGCATGAACGTTTGTGTGAGTCTGCCTGTACTTGTCCGGACTAGTGCTGGAGTGCTAGTCCACTGAGATACCACGCTGCAATGTAACATGAATACTCCATTCTGATTCATGACACCGACTCCAAGCCGCCCACATTCTACGCCACCTTAAACACGAGCACCAGGCAGGGTAACAACAAGTACGATCATTCAACGTCTTTTGGGTGTGACGCAGCCAGGGATGGAATTCTACTCATTAACAGAACTGATTAGATGTCAATTATCACGATGCCCTCGACTAATCGGTGACAAATTAACTTGTTTTACACAATTTGATGGATACGATTTACCCTAATCAATCTCACACATTATGTTCAACTGCTTTGACAAATATATACTCGCCGCCAAATTTACCTCGAATACTTTACATGTTGGTTAGTTTTTGAAGAATTACTCCTATTCAAGAGATATTAGATTGGTTCGATGCACAAGCAAACGTTACGTTGCGTGAACCGACGCTCATGAACGCATCACATGTGACATCCTAGATATGCACCATTTGTCTCATGCAGGATTAACGTGTAAAGTTTGGAAATCACGTGCAGCATATTGCGATAAGAATAAAGATACTCTGTGGTAACACTTGACTGATTGTTAGTTTTGTCATTAAGTGGTACACATTGAAAACATCTCTTCTTAACGTACATACCTCTCTATATTTTTCTATGGTTCGCGTTTCTTTTGGCGGTGAGTATATATATCAAGTGACATCATGAAAGACTATAGTTATCAACACTACGTAAGAATAAACAGGAATCCATTATGTGGTGGGGGTAAGGGTTGGGTAGACGTCCATTATGTGGTGGGGGTAAGGGTTGGGTAGACGTCCATTATGTGGTGGGGGGTAAGGGTTGGGTAGACGTCCATTATGTGGTGGGGGTAAGGGTTGGGTAGACGTCCATTATGTGGTGGGGGTAAGGGTTGGGTAGACGTCCATTATGTGGTGGGGGTAAGGGTTGGGTAGACGTAGAAGTAGGGCAATCGAGACAGGTGGACAGGACTATCAGTCCTGTCGTGAAGTAATGGTCCTCTGGCGTTGAACTACGGCTAAACCATGGTGTAACTCAGACGTGTTTCTGTGACAAGGCCTCCTGCCTGTTGTACACAGCTCACAGATCATGGCTGCCTCCCCTGTACAGATCCCCCTTGAACTACTTATGGACATCTTGAGATTCTTCAAAGGAGACACATCACTAAGAACGCCTTGCCCATGACACACACAGCCAACTGTTTCCAGTTAAACCTTGCGGACATACCGTGTGATGTTCTATCACTCTACTAATACGCAATAGTCCACACGTTCAAAGTGGCAAATAGTCCTTTCATCATTCAGCAGCTTTTGGGTAGAATAAAAGTTCATAAAATTCATTTCATCATAAAACATCTTCCGCCTTGGTGTCAGGTTACAAAGCCTGGTCCTTGGACTCCCGAGCTCCATCTGGAGGTCGCTACTTCCGCTGCGCCCCTCCTTCCCCTCCTGTTGATTACCAGCCTTCACAAATGGGATAAAAAGCAAAGAAATATTTAAGGAGCGGGGTTGATTGATATCTGCGTCTCAGGGTCGAGGTCCGTGACTCACCCCCCTAATTTCAAAGGTTAATTAAGCAAACTAGCTGCCAACGTGAAACCGGTGTTCGCGGCGCAGAGTGATTTGATCCACAGCACAGAAAAACGCGATACCAATTAGTTCAAAAGAAACTGACCCAGTGTCAGAGGTAATGCTTCCCTAGCAACTTCTTGCTTCACAAAGAGTAGGAAATGAAAATAAACCCATAAATCTCAAGACTACTTATCAGAAGTATCTGACAATCATATGTGGTTTCAGGATATGACAAGCATCATGCATCATTAGTTGTACCAGGGGGACATTCCTTCCAACGTCTACTGCCGGGGGATGGGGACAAGATGAAACCATAGATCATCTAACCACATGGCTGGAGTTTCTTGCAATCATAAGGGGCGGTGGGGTGGCCTAGTGGTGAACGCACTTGCTCGTCACGCCGAAGACCTGGGTTCAATGCCCCCCAGTGATACATTTGTAGCATGGTAGTACTACGGCCTGCCGTAAGATGTGGAAATATTGCTAAAAGCGGCGTCGCAGTAAACACTGGTAGTTTCAGAGTCTGGCCAAACAATATAACTGAGACCTTTGGATATTTTGAGTCAATCTTTTTTTCTAAGTGGATGATTTTAACTACGCAGTTAAAATGACAAGGTGTGTATTAATTTCTTCAGAGCACCGAAACAGGTGCGGTTGATCTAATTTAATTTCTGTATGTAAATGTTTATATGTGGTGTGTCTTAAGCATCAGTTAGACAAAAAAGAAGAAGGAATTTGACGACGAGCCAATACCGCTTGTACAGGTTAAACTTTATACGCTGAACGTGGGCGGGTAGGTGTAAAGCTGGAAATAAATCCGCCAAAAACTACCGTTCCCATTCAAATAACATCGATAACGCTGAGGTTTTATCCATAATGTTTATCTACCACACCGATATTATTCTCCTTAAGTTTATCAGATTCCTTCTATGAAGCTCCGGTCAACTTGGTCCTCCTCAACACACGCAAGTCTTCGTCATTTAAATATATATCTAAACTACACATTCATACCTATTTCATACCCTGGGGCTCATCAAGAGCGACCGACCCTGACATACGACGAGTGTTAGTTCCAGGACGCACGGCATTATCAGGCCCCAAATCGTTTAAAGTGGCGTAAAATCCTACTCCGTATCTTTTAAAAAGGAGAATGACTAAATGAATGTTAGTTTGCGCCGCGCAAAAGAGAACAATGAACCACACATTTGGTATTGTCGATACATGGACCAAGAACGAAGACTGCCGAAGTCCATGTGTCCATCTGTGGATAAAACATCACGTAATAACTAGTGCCACCTGCTCCACACAATTGTCAAATCATTTAGCGCGTGTTATAGACGCGTTTCACTTCCGGGCGCAGACTGGCTCCAGTCGTGTGATGGACTGCAACAGTACTTATCTACTACCTCCACTCTAGTAATGAGGTCTGGGAAACACTTTCTGCTGCATCCCCCCAAACCTGTGAGGAGTATGGTATCTGTGCAAGAAGACAACCCGCTTACATCCGCATCCCGGACAGGCAAAATGGTCCAATTATTGTTTTGTACTCGCGTTGCTTGACCTCGCTTGGCAAACTACACCGGCTCAAGAATACATGCTCGTTGCCATCAACAATGAAAGAACTTATATATCTATTCCAAGTCTGATTTTGAAAGCCAACAGTTGAGTGCCAGTACTCATTAGTCATCAGAGAAACATCACACTCGAACATACGTCTGGGATGCTCAATGTTCAACGCATCATTACGGTAAAAAGGGATTAGTGATGCTGTTCAGAGATAAAGGGGTAGACCATTTGATTCCTAGTGGGAGAAGGAGGGGAAAAACACAGCTCACATTTTGTGTCAATGAAAAATCAGCCTCCATCTGCTTAAAAAATAATCTCATCCTAAAGAAAGCCTCGATCAATATGGCCATCCTCACCTAAATCT